ATTGACTTTTCCTTGTCATGTTATTTTCCTGTTCTTGGTTCCCTTTTCTTCTCCTCTGTTTAATTGCTAGTCTTGTCTGGTGGATTTATTCTGCTGGAGTTTCATGAAGTTGTAGTCCTTGTTATCACTATCTACAGTGTCCTTCAGAACATTTGGGAGTGTTAATGTGGTGGTCATGAATTTCCTCAGGTGTTTTTTGTCATGAAGTATCTTATTTTTCCATTAATTTTGAAAGATAGTTTTGCAGGGGTATAACAATCTGGGTTGGAGGTCATTTTATTTTAGTGATTGAAATACTTCACTCCAAGCTCACCTTGACTTGAGGGTTTGTATAGAGAAATCTGCTGTGATTCTGATGGGCTTTCCTTTATAGATGATTTGTTTCCTTTCTTTATCAGCTTTTAATATTCTGTTGTTGTGTTGCATTTCTGGAATCTTGACCACTATATTCTTTGGTGTAGATTTGTTTTGTTCATGGCTAATTGGAGCTCTATATGCATCACATATCTGTATGTCAAATTATTTTTCTCTGCTTGGGAAGTTTTCTGCAATTCTGTGAACAGCCTTTTTATGTCATTTGCTCTTTCTTTTGCTTTTTCATTAACTCTGATGAATTTTATGTTGTTTTTCTTTGCATCATCTATCAGGTCATGGATTGCTTTTTCATTGTCCCTTGCTATTGTTTTTCCTCTTTGAGTTTATTGGTACATTTTAGGTATACGGTACAGTTACATTCATCATTAGGAACTTGGACCTTTACATGACAGATCTTGGTTCTCATTTTTCCCCATACCTTGCCCTCCCGTCACCCCCTCCTCCTTTGCTATTTTAGAGAAATACTCTTTTCATGATTGCTGACCCCAATCTTGTCTTCTATATCTGACATTGTGTCCTCACAGTGGCTCATTCTGCTGGGTGTACTTTCAATGGAGTTTGAAATCTCCTGAATATGTTTAAACCTGTTTCATGGATTTCGTTTCTTTCCTATGTTGCGCACTCATGGTTTCCATCATTTTTCTAAGCTCCTTTATTTCTTTTTATCTGTGTCTGCTCTAAGCATCTTTCATTAGGGCCACCATTTCTATAGTTATCTAGGAAATTATTTCTGCTTTGATTTTTTTTTTCTAGAGCCCCAGTCATCTGCTTTACTGTCTCTGCTGTTATACTCCAGAGAGTCTAGGTGGGTGGTTTTCAGATTGTTCCACTTCATTTCCTCCTGGGTTTGCCTTGGTGAGCTGGAAGTCTGGGGTTGCTTAAGTGTCTTCTCATTTTCTTTCTTTTTCTAAATTCAATCCCTAAGTTTACTCTTATAAATTGCTAATGGCTGGTGGCTTCATTGCTAGTATTTAGAACCCTTAGAAAATGAATACTTCTCAGAGATATCTTCCAAGTATAGTTGGCTTTTGGCTTTTGAGTCTTTTGCAAGATCTTACCTCTTCGTTTTATTGGGTAGGAGAAGTCGCTGCCTATTTGGCCAGCCCCTAGTTCTTTGACACTGGCCTATATAATTGTTTACGGACCTTAGGCAATTTTAGTCTTGGCATTCCAGGAAGAACAACTGATTTTGAACAATTATGTCATCTTAGCTAAAGGGAAGTAATCAGTTATAACAATAGCATCAAACAGCCTACAAAATGGCAAATTGGTAGCTATTAATTTGCCACCTTTAACCATATGAATTAGATTTGTGATTATATAACAATTTCTAAAACAAACCAGAAAATTGTATACCGTAAATAAGCCCTCAATATGATGATTTTACCTTAAGAGGAGAAAATTTAAATGGGGATAGTGGGGAAAAATAGAGAAATAAAAGAGGAGGAAGAAATTAGACACAAGGCTGGCGGACAGTTGTGCACACTTTGAGAAACTGGTGAAGAAGACAGGAGGGAAAGAGAGAAGAAAGAAATAAAAACAAGAACAGAATAAGACAATACCAGTAAAAGAACTGGAAACTCTTTTCAAAGTCATATAAAACCAGAACAATCAAGAATAAACAAGACAAAACAAAATAAGATAAAAAGGTCTACTTCAAGGTGTGTCTCTGCTGTCACCTGTAGATAAAGTCGTCACACAGAGTCTGGATTTGTGTTGACCAATCCCAGCAAGGCAGCTGTACCTTTACAGCAGGGTAGCGGACACCCCAGAAAGCCTGCACCTTTAATTTCACTGAAGTTCAGGCTTATTTCTGGCCTCAGGGCTGGAACTTGATTTGTTCAGTCTGTAACACTCCATGTATCTCCTGCTGGCTAGAACTTGGCCAGAGCCAAGACTTAAAGATGCTCAGGACTGACGTGTCCAGCTTGGTTGTGTACTTGGTCAAGATTGAAAGAAATGAGGGCAACCTGGAATCTGCCAATGCTCTGCAGTAGGGCCCAAGAAAAGACCTGGACAGGTTGTTTGTGGAAGTTGAAAAGATTTATGAAATGATCTAGCCAATTGTGGTTGCAGAGTGAGCATTTCCAGGCTGGTTTCTCATGACCAAAAAAGCGTATTGTTCCCTTTAGGTGTCCCCCACTTCCATCCCCTGAAGAGCAGCAGTCCCTGGCTCTGTGGTTCTGTGCCTGGTCACTTTATTTGCGATGATCTCCACATGCTTTTCCTTGTGGCTGGCATCTTGGAGCTGGAGCTCTGAGAGGCAGTGTCTGATGTCAGAGAGATGCAGTGGCCCAGCAGAGGGTTGGGAAACATGACTGAAAACAATCAGGAAAGAGAACTCATATGGAGCTGATCCATCCATATCCTGGTTTCCTGAGGCCTGTGTTTTGGTTACAAGGTGTCCAATGAACACAAAAGGAAACAGACTTTCTGATAAACAGCCAGTCTGGAATGGTGGGTGTTGTTTTGTTGTTTAGCAGCTCATGAGCTCTCAACCCTGTGAAATGATTGTTAAACAACTCCCACTGCACCTCCCCACCCCAAACCATTTTAATTTTCCAGCAAGCAATGGACTATTCTTTCATTTCCAAATTAATTTTTGTTTTGGTATGTTGGTCAGCTTTCTTGTTGCTGGGACAAAATACCCAATACCCATGAGTTAAAGGAGGAAAGATTGAATTTAGCTTATGTTTCAGAGGTTTCAGTCCACAGCTGACTGGCCCCAAGGAAGAAATATGGTGGATGGGCATGGAGGAGCTGCTTAATTTATGGCTCCTAGGAAGCAAAATACAGGAGAAGACTGCCTCTGAGCGATATACTTTCCAAAGACATTGCTCCCAGGGACCCACCTCCAAATGGACCCTACCTTTTAACAGCACGTTCAGATACGAGTGGCTTAATCCATGGATAAGCATGAGTCCCACATGAACCAGTAATGTCTCCTGGAGTTCCTTAGTCTAGTCAAATTGATAATTAAGCTAAACTATCACAATTGGTGACCGAGAAATGATAGAAATGTCCTTGTGATATGTTTTATGAAATTTAGTTAAAACGAATATTCTAATTCAAGAGATAGCAATCCCTAATAGCTTCAATTTTCTGTCAAAAAAACTCCCCATTATCCTTCAGGGAGAGCTTGAGTGCTCTAACAAGACATCAAGAGCCAAATTCTGAAAATCTTAGCTATCCTAATTTTAGTCCACTATTTAATTTTTTGCCTAATTGTTGATTGATTGAATATCTTAAAATTCACTCTTCACTTTGCTGTGCCATGGGTTCTCCATGCTTGAGTGCCCTTCAGAATCTCCAGGAGGGAGTATAAAAGCACAGACTGCTGGGACTTGTCCTCAGAGATTCCATTCCGGGGACTGGGGTGGACTAGAGAAAATGTACTTCTAACAAATTTCCAGGCTACTCTGTTGCTGCTTCTCTGGGGCCACATTTTGAGACCCACTGCATGACACCAATCTTGAGAGAAAACTGTGGTTAAAGGTCATGTATTTTGGAAAAGGAGAACCTGAGATATAAACCTGTGAGCATGGAACCAACTGAGGCAGTTGGATCTCAAGAGGAGAAGCTGAGAAGACCTGAACCTGGCCATGGAGGGTCTGGGGATTCTGAGGTTCTGGCCAGGGTTTGAACAGTTGGGCGCTCTGGTAGTGACAGCACGAGCTGGCTGGAGGGTGGCCCACGCCCAAGGTGATTTCAGGTGTGGGCATAACTAACCGAGCCCACGAGGCTTGTGCATCAAAACCACCCCCTGTGCAGCTCCAGGCCAGTGTCTCAGCCCTGCTTTAGAGTCACCAGAGAGCTTTAAATACTACCAGTGCTCAGGCCCACCCAGAACAAAATAAGTCACCTTCTGAAGCTGCAGTGTGGGCAGTGTCTTCGAAAATGTATGTTCTAAGAGCGAGCAGACCAACCTCCAGAGATGATGATTTAATGGATCTGGGGAATATTTAAAAATATTCATTATCATCTTTTTTTGCTGAAATCGAATTAGGTGATTTTAGTGTGCACTTACTACCTGGCACAGAGTAATCCTTTAATAAACATGTGTTGAACACGTTAATTAAGGATTGCTTTAGTGTAGGGAAAGTGGGAAGGGTAGGGGAAAGGTAATAAGGGAAAGAAAAAATAGGAGAAAATGAAAAAATGGAAATAAAATGTTTGTAAATGGAGAGGGGAGGAGGGGGTGCAGGGAGGGCAGGGACAAGGGGAAAAAATGAGAACCAAGACCTGTCATGTAAAGGTACAAGATCCCAATAATGAATGTAAAATGGAGAGGAGGAGGGGGTGCAGGGAGGGCAGGGACAAGGGGAAAAAATGAGAACCAAGACCTGTCATGTAAAGGTACAAGATCCCAATAATGAATGTAAGTATGCTGTATATCTAAAATGTACCAATAAACTCAATGAGGAAAAAAAAAAGGATTGCTTTGGTGACCAGTTAGGCACTTTGGAAGCTGGAACACTGGCAAAACACTTAAGACTTGACTCTCTTGTTGCCAGCATGGGTGTTAGGGATGACTCCTCCTAATCTAGTACATGCTATGATGTGAAGCAAGGAAATGAGATGCGCTGAATATATATAAAACTTGCTATTTATTTTTTTCCATTTAGACCACTGCTGACCAATCTACAACCTTCAGGAAAGATGCGGTTCAGCTTTTGAACTAAGAACAAATCAATGGAAAAATAATGCTGTATCAAATTTCAGTGTGTGTAAGTTAAGTTTTAATGGACTCCTATTGCCTTTGCTTATTTTCACTCCATGCCCATTCCTCCCCGTACTGTAGAATGGCACTGTGGGGCTATAGAGTTGAGATGTAAGACAGGCTATGTGGCCCTCACTAACTCAAAAATATTTACTCTCTGCACCTTCACTGTAAGTTGTTTGCCGCATCTTCATTTACGGAGTGAGTCCTCCCCATATATATACTCTGGTTACCATTTAACATTGACAAGTTCCACGTCTTAGACCTAAGATGCTATTAGTAGTAAAATTCTTTTCAAGTAGAAGAAGACAAGATTCTTGCTATCTTAATCAGGTCCCATTGGTACTGTTTGAAAGTTTTAGGCTTTGCTTTTTTGTCATTAAATTAAGAAACATTAAAATCTACAGACTAAATATAATGTGTGAACCACAAACCCATGGTCTATGGGGAATCTTGAGCTTCCTGAGAACTGCTGAAGATGCTCCTGAGTTCTGCCTTTTAATTTTGAAAGGAAACCACTCAGGTTGTTATTTGGCTCCAGACAGTCATTTTCCCTCTTCTGTTCCCATCTCTTTTCCTCTACCTGGCCAGTGCACAGAGAACAATTTCAAGGAGGTCACTGATGATATGCAGTGGTTTATAAGCTATGCCAGGGAACCAGGCACGGTGGCACACGCCTGTAAGTTCAGCTATTGGGGAGGCTGAGGCAAGAGAATCACAAGTTGAAGCGCAGTCTGAGCAACTTTGAAGACCCTGTATCAAAAAGGTTTGAGGGGGTGCATCTCAGTGCAAAATCTCTGTGTCCAAAGAAAGAAGAGCAATGTTATAAGCTACAAGGTGTATTTCCAGACACCTGAAAAAAGTGGAGATGTGCCACTAGTGCACAGTGGGTAGGTAGGAACACTCCTAAAAACAAAGGGACAAGGCTCTGACATTCAGAACCTAAGGAAAAACAGAGGTGCTAACCCGTAAGTCATAACATAGGAGAAGGGTGTGGATGGCTGGCTGCATTGCCCGGGAGGTTGCAGGGCGGGCCAGCAGGCTCTCCCTGGGAGAGGGCTGGAGGGCTGCACACTGACCCCACCCAGACAGACAGTTCCTCAATCCCTTCTTCCAGGCCTGGCTTTTCAGTGGTGAGATGCGCTCACCTCGTTCTTGCTTTGTCAAAGGCCAGGTTGAGTTCCAGTCACTGGTTGGCAGAAGGACTTGAGTAGGCTTACAAGGAGGGCCGTCCCATACTTGGACTCTTGTCTTTTCCTGAAGTGTCTTCTTTTGTACTTGGTGCTGATACCGTCCTCCATCCTGAGGTTTTACTTTTCATTTTCTTCCCACAGCGTGATATGTACAAATAAATCATGCCAGTATTTCCATTTATGTATATCTTAATATAGCATCAGTATGGTGATTAGATAATGTGAAATTTAATAGAATTTTCCTGGGTGAATCAGCTAAGATATATCATGATGAAATCTCAGAGTCTGGAGAGGAAAGAGGGAGGGAGCTCTTCACACACACGCTACTGAGTCAGCACAGCACAGCAATTTTCTGTGTCCTCATAATAGATACTTGAGAATAATTACTGACAGCCTGTGGAGAATTCATCAACCTTGGGTACCAAATAATAAGTTATACTATCATGGCAACTGTGTGAATTAAGTTAGAAGTTTAGTGAATGCTGATGAAGTCTCCTTACCCGCCTCCCTGAAAAGCCAGTCTGTATAATTGATGTCATAGGTACAAAAATACTTTTTTTATTAGGATATCCTAAATCAAATAGTTTTTAATAAATAAGAGGTACACAATCATTGGAAACTATTGCTGGCCATGTGGGACAGCAACCACCACATCCACAATTATTTTGCAAAAAAAAAAAAAAAAAAAAAATGCTGGTGTTTATTTTCTAAACCTCAGCATGCTATGTTCCAAAGAGAAATCTCAATCGACTGAAAGAGATGGGCTGGGGAAGTTCAGTGTTGGGAGCGATAGCTTCCTAATGAGTTGTGAAGTGAATGTAGGCAAGTTGCCTGTGGAGCAGCCAAGCCCTGGGGCAGGGAAGACTGGCAGCAAGAGCCTGACTTCTTAATTTGTACCACGCGAAGGAAGTCTGTCAAGCTCATGGTAAAAAAACATATTATGGCCATTTCTGAGTACTTACTTTGGAATAGACTTTCTACCTGATGATAGGCAGTTTCTTTCTTACCAGATTCACCAGTGTAAATTCTATTCTTGGTTTTAATATTCTTTTTTACTGATGCTCAAATATATTGGTCATGTACATTTGTTTTGACAAATAGATAATTTATAAATGAAATCAGTTTTGTGTTCTACCACATAGAGCTTCAGAACTGACTATGAATCTTGAGGCTCTCCTTCCAACTCAGACATCATAGCTAGAAACCACCTGAATCAAGTTTAGACCCTGGTTGGAGAATTGAATTTTGCTCTCTTGGCTTCACAGATGCGCCTTCTCTAATTGAGCTCTTCTATCCTTTTCTTCTTGCCTCAGCCGGGGGAGGCACCATCTTGCCTCTGATTGGATTTTGTTAATGAGAAGTTCCAAGAAGAGAATGGAGAGGGAGAAGGAAATAGGTCCTGGGTGTCTCCTGGCAGGGTAACCTCAAGCTGGCTATGTCCCTTTAACAGGGTCATGGGTCCACTCCAGTGGTCCTATCTGTGTAAGTCTCACCTGAAAAAGATGTGCTCATTGCTCTCCCCTCATATGGGTGCATGTGGATCAGCTCCTGGCTCTTACTGGCCCTGGGAATCTGCACCCTCTGATGGTTGGTGGTTTCCCAATGTCCTGCTCCTTTTGCGCAAGGGACCTTATATTATACTCACTTTGAGCCCCCTTAGTGCAAATGTGCCCTTCTGTGAGGTTCTGACTCGTACAGATTTTAGGATCTTTCTCTTCTAGGGTTTGTTTTCACATTTCTCTAATTGTTTTATCCTGTTACCCCTTGTTGGCTGTTTTTCTACTTGCTCATAGATAAATGTTCTCTCTATGAGTATGTACCTGGTTTGTCCTTATTTTTCTTACTCTGCCTTTAACTTCTCTATCATTACAGCAAACACAGACATTTCAAGACTCTCATGGATACAGGTGTTAGAAACCTTGAGGAACCCCCAACCCCAACATAGCTGTAAATTACTCATGTTCCATTGCTGCCCTTGCTCTCGTCCCAGGGCTTGCATCCCCTCTGACTCAAAAGATTTTCTTTTCATCACAACTCATCCCCCACCTTCATGGTCGACCTTCTGATCTTTTTAAGTTCAATGTCTTAATTCTGACAGTTTTCTTTACTATTTACTTTAATGAAGAAGAGCAGAAGCTAGGGGTGGAGGAAGAAAAGGAGGAGAAGGAAGAAGAAGAAAATGAAGACGGTGAAGGAGAAGAAAGAAAAGAAGAGGAGGAGGAGAAGACAACAAAATCATGTGTTGAGCATTGTCTAAATTCACAAATTATCCTGCCTTTGACAAAGGTCGGTACTTATTAGTTTTTACCCTTGCTGTGATTTAGATCTAAGGTATCCCCCGGGAGTCTCATGTTCGGAGGTTCAGAGGTGAGACTTTTGGTAGGGGATTGGACCATGAGAGGCTATACTCATAACTGTATTGATCCGTTGGTGAATTCAGAGCTAAATGTACTATTAAGATGTGGGGCTTCTTCCCATCCACATGGCTAGTGTCTGGCTTACTAGTTGGCATGTAGCAATTGAGAAAGAAAAACTGTACCAGGCCTATTATATAGTTAAGGAAGACTTTACCGGCCCTTACTGCAGAAGGGGAGACAGGTCACACAGAAAAATGGTGGGGCAGCTTTCACTTGCTGGGTTGAGCACACCAGGGGGAGGAAGGCGGTGTGCCTAGGCGTTGTGTGCTTGTTAGTTCGTGCTTAAGTCTCCTGCAGAGACCAGGAGGCAGGATACCTGTGTTCCTTGGTGATGAAATTAAAAAAAAAAAATGTCTTACAGGTTCTTCAGAAAGGCATGGCAGGGTTGAAGGAGATTTACATCCCAAAGAGCAAAGAAAGAATTTACAATTGCAAATTCTCCACGGAAAAGGAACTGTGGCTAGAGTCAGGAAGGACCCTGTAAAATGCTTAGGCATTTTGACAGGGACACTCAGGGCCCTTTTATTCAGTGACCCCCATACTACAGTATGCTAGTGTTTATATGGCCATTTAAATGTGTAGGCCAGGGATGTGCAACTAAAAGTTCTCAAAAGTTTTGTATGCGGAGTTTAATTTCTTAATTTCAAGATGTGATTTTAATAATTATAGTAATGTATAACTTTATAATAGAAGATGTTAATCCCTTACATTTTCCTCAGAAGAAATGCGTGCTCTATGAGGTCAAGGGCTACTTTGGCCTCCCATCTTCTTTTACTGGATTGGAGTATTTTTTTTTTTTTTTTTTAACTGCTGTGTGCGGAAATAGCGATCTTCCACAAGATCCAGTGAACAAATGCAGGTTAGTTTCAAATTTAACTGTCACCTAATGGTAAACACCTGGGTTTCAGGCCAGTCTTCTAGGTGGGAATTCTGGTTCTGTTACTTCATAATTATAGGAACTGGGATAAGTCACATAAATTCTCTGCGCCTTTGTCTAATTTTCTGTAAAAATGAAGCTAATACCTGTTTTGGCGAGGCTGCTGGCAGGACACACAAAGCAGCCTGTCCCACTGGGCAGGGCACACAGAAGGCGTGGCTGGGCCATCCCTGAGTAAACCCTGCTTTAGGTGAGGTTAGTGCAGGGAGCCACAGAGAGCTGTGGGCTGCTAATCAGCCTTTTGACTTGAAATAATGAGCCTTCATTATGATTTTGAATTGACTTGTTCTGCTTGAATGCTTTATCGGTGCCTTTGTTTCTGCTTAATTGTTTTATTTTCATGACACTTTAGTTTGATTCAGAGAGGGAGAAGTTGCTTTGTTTATCTAATTCCTTAATTAAGCTGCCCTGTGGAGGGGCTACAGCCAGTCCCTCTGGGACTCTGAACAAGAGAAGCTAATCACCACCACAGAGTCCAGTGCAGGAGTCCTTGGGTAGGAAACTGATTGTTTTGGATGTGAATGCTGCCAGTCAGACTTGGCTGGAGTTTGAAGCCTGCATCACAGTCTAAGGTTTCAGGCAGTAGATGTTTCCCCTAGGCTGCTGAGAACAAAGTTTTAGATTTCACTGTTCTTTTAAACAGTGCCCTGCCTTTTCTGCTTGGAGACCAGACTGGCCATCAATGTGAGCCCTTCACAACACTTGCGTCTTTCCAATACTTTTTTTTTTAAACAACCATCCTCTTTTACTTCTGTCAGATCCAGTCTCGGTATTTCTGGCTGAAGAGCTCAACTGGACATCTGGCTTAACCAAAGGCAATAAGCTAGAAAAAGGTCTGGGCAGCCCCAGAGCTCAGCCCCAGGCCTGGTCACCACAGGGGATACCTGAATTAATAAAAATGAAGAGCTGCATTTCCGTTCTTGTTTCTTAAGCCTTAGAACTAGGAATCCTACTTTTCCTACTGAACAAGTGATGTGTTCTCCTACCCAAAGTAAGAACATGCTACAGGTCATTTGGTACCTGACCCTTGGCTTCAAAATAACCTGTATGTTTACGTATACTGTGCATATGGGGAAGTTATCAGTGTACTTGCAATATGTGCTGTGGTCAGAAGGGCTGTAGTCATACATGTGTTACATTACTTCAATAGCTGTTCTATCAGTTGACACCTATCCAGCGAGTATTCTATGCCCTAGGCACACAGGGAAGGAAATTACAAACAGAAACAAGACAACAACAGAAATGGAAGTAGGAGAAAGCATACTGTCACCTCATAGGGTGTGAAGAGGTCCTCTCAAAGAGCACGTGGGAGCTGCAACTCAGCTTGGGTGATTTCTGGAGTCAGCATTGCAGAAAAGCAGTGAGAGGACAATTTAGAGAGAGGCACAGGAGAAAATAGGGAAGGGGCTTCAGTTTGAGGAGCTGAAAGAGGGCATGGCTCTATTGGAGAGGATTGGACTGGCCTGGTAACCAAAGGAAGAGAACAGCTTTGAAGGAGTTGTTGGGATTGGTAGGGTTTGGATGATCATTGTCTCGGTTCTGGTTTTGCAGGCTGGCTCTGGACAAGTCCTTATTTCTCAAGTGGGCACCTTTGTCTCCATGAGATGGTGGTGTATGCTTTGCTCAGTCTAAATTTTGTGAGGGCTCTGCCGGCATCCAAGGTGAGCATAAGTTAGGGCAATGACTTGAGATTTCCGGGTACTTACTAGATGAACATTCCTGAAAGTCTCTCATATCGGTGTCCTTAGTTGTGAGGGAGGTTGAGAAAAATTAATTGAATTTAGGGCTAATCAACTTTGTATTGCCTGCTTTTAGACCGACATTCCCTAAATAATTAGGATACCTGTTCACAGAGCTGAGTAAGGATCTGACCCAAAGTTTAAGGTCATGAGGGAGACGAGTAACAGATGAACATCAAACTTTATTCTGCATCTAGTTATCCACCAGGCATTGGTAGCCACATGCGATGAGTCACTGTTGTTTTTGTTTTGTTTTGTTGTTTGTAGCAAAAATAAATTTTAATCCCCGACTGCCTTAGAAGAAATTTCAGCTCAAGCTTCTAAGGAGGAACAGGTAAGAGAGAGGCTCAGGAGTTTGTCCTCTGTCCCTATAGTGGTCTCTGCTTGTGTCAGTGCTCCCTGCTTCTCAGGCGTTGGGAGTGGTGAGATGGCGTAGGCTGTCCCTGCTTTGGAACCTCAGTGTGTCTTGTGGTAAACTTCTACTACTTCTGCCTGCTGCAGGCATGGGCAATGTCAAAATCGAAGGAGTGATATTCAAAGCCAAGTGCAGTTTGACCTGAGCACTTCCTTTGAAAGCTGATCACATGGTGTATGAACTACTGGCTCACCACAGTGGGCGCCCCGCCATTTTTGGGTATTCCCTTTTCTCCCTGTCTCCTCTGAGAAACTTTTCCCTTCACATTTAGTTTTAAAAGTTCATTTCTCTCTTTAAGCGGCAGCTCAAATACCACAGTCTTCAAGTTATTTCTGTATTGATTTTTCCCCATTCATTATGCTCCTCTAGCTTAGTATTTCCAGAGCTGGGACCCTCTTAGACGCTGCCTATCAAATCTATGCCTAGTTAGTTACGTGAGTGTACCTTGTACCTATTCACTGGATTGAAAACTCCAGAGCCGGGGCCAAGGGAAGGTATGTATCTGTTTCTCTCCCTGACAGTACAGCAGTTTGTGAGTAGTAGGCACGTTAACAGCCATTTTGTGTGTTCATTAGATTCATTGCAATTTCTTTCTTGGCATATAGGAAAATAACATTTTTGCCTCCCTGGCAGGATCTAAATGGGACTTTGGTCAATGGGATGTGGATACGATGTTGTGAACCATTTCTAGCTCTGGGTACTGACCACCTGCTCTCTTTTCTCGCCTTGAAGACCACATGTTCAAGAGGGCAGCATGAGAAGATGAAGGAATGCAGCTCCCTGTCCTGGTCCTGGAAGAAGAGCTGCCCCTGAGAGGTTAGGAGCTCCTCAGGCATGGCACAAATAAAGCATGTGTCTTTGCTTTGTTAAATCTCTGTTATTTTAAGTATTATTTAGTGTACATTCTTCACTAAACTATATTGACAAATAGCCTTTAAGTTCCCTGACCCTAGGGACAATTTCTGTTTTTTTTTTTTTTAAATTTTATTTTAATGTATTACAAGTAGCTTTTAAGAATAAAAATAATTATGAAAACTAATTTTTATAGCAAAAATTATTAGAGAATAACCATGTTATAGTATGATCTCATCATGTGTATTATGATCTTAGAGAATATATTTTCATTTGCTTATCTATCTCTCAGGTCATTTCCTAATAATACTATACCTTATTTTGCATAAAACATTTTAAGTACTGACAAAGTATCTAACACTCTGTATAATTTTGAGCAATTTCTATTTCACAATATTTACTATTGTTTTGGCCCTGATACCAGAAAGATAATGCAGTATTCACATGATTTATTTGTGTGTTCGATTTATTTCATTTAACAGTATGTTGTCAAGGTGCATCCATTTATCTTGAAATGTCTCAAGTTTACCTCTCATCGTGGCTGAACAGAACTCCATTATAATTAAAAAAGCCCCACACATCTTTTATATCCACAGATTGATGGGCATTTGGGCTCATTCCAAGATTTAGCTATTACAGACTGTGCTGCTGTAAACATGGGTGTGCATATATCCTTGTGGTAGGAAGCTTTTAATTCCTTTGGGAAGATACCAAGAAGGGGAATAACTGGGTTCAAAAAGAACTCCTAGTTTCATCTTTTTGAGGACTCTCCACACTGACTTCCACAGCAGGTACACCATTCTACACTCTCACCAACAATGGAGAAAGGATTCTTATTCCCCAAAGCCCCACCAGCAGACGCATTGGTTATTCCAGTGTTGTATCCTGAGCATGGAACTTTATGTCTAGACCATAGTATGATCTCAATAAACCCCTGTTAAATATATGAATAATTAAACACTTGTCACTTGCTAATCTCTTTGTATTTCACTTGAAAAGCTAACTTCAAATTTTCAGATTCTAATTAAAAAAAACCACTAATTCATGGGTTGTTTATTGCAGTACTATTCACAATAGCTAAAATATGGAATCAACCTGGATGCCCTTTAGTAGATCAATGGATAAAGAAAACGTGGCATATTTACAAAGTGGAAAGTTATCTAGTCATAAAAAGGGATGAAAGCCTGTCATTTGTGCCAATGCGGTTGGAACTTATACTAAGTACAACGAAGCTAGAGTCAGAAAGAAAATTACTGCGTGTTGCACACATGGGTGGAAAAGATGAAGTCAGCATTGTAGAAGAATGGGATGGAACTGTGGTCACTAAAGACGGGGATGGCTGTGGGTGGCACATGGAAAGAACTTCAGTAAGGACCACCAGAACATAGGTAGAGTGAAAGAATTACTTCTGGTTTTTCAGTATGAAGGGGTGACTATTGGCTTAAACAATGTATGCTATATTTCTAAATGACCAGAAAGCACAAAATATCCAACATATAACATGATTAATATTTATAGAGATGGAAATAACCCTTGCTTGATTATTAAACTTTTATGCATGTATTGAATTACCATGTGGCATCCTACAAAGACATACAATTATGTCCCAGTAAAAAAAAAAAATGCAAATTGGGAAAAACTTTTATTTCATGAAAGAGTCTACTGCTGAAGATTCCAGTAAGTGTTTCTCCAACATTCTGCTGTTAGCTTCTGTAGAATCTGGAGCATCTTGGTCTTGGGAAATACAGTTAAAGGCAGCTTCAGGTAATAAAGGAAGAGTACAAAGAATTTAGTTATCCCCCCCTCCCCAAAACAATTCCTGTCTAAATAGGGATAAGAAGCTGTTAAAAAGGAAGGTAGAGAAGAGATTAGAAATGAAATCAGAAGCTGACATTTGTGGAGTAATTTGTTGGTGTCAGTCATTGTTTCAGGCTGCCTGTGATTGATTCCTGAATTCACGTAACTTTCACAAATGGACCAAGAAAAAGATTTTATTAACTGTATTACATGGGAAGTTGGGAAAATTGGTTCTCCAATGGGTTAGGTAACATGGAAGTCCACAGCTAGTAAATCTTGCAAATGCAGATGGTCTCTGACTTACAATGGTCAGATTAATGATTTTATCACTTTACCATGGGACAAAGGGATATATATTTAGTAGAAATCATACTTCACATTTTGATATTTTCCAGATTAGCAGTATGTAGTTAGTAATTTTTGAGATGCTGGGAAATGGCAGGTAGCCATGGGCCCCCAGATGGCCTCCTGGTCATGAGAGGAAGCTACTGAAACTCTGCAGTGTTGCTGAGCTGTGGTGTTTGATAGGAGGGTAGTGAATGCATTTGACACTTTTGATAGGTTTATTAGAACACTACCCTTTTGCAAATCAAGGGCATTTAGCTACATATTATGCTGATTCCTTCAAATAATAACAAACAGAAATTGTACAACGATGGTGCTATCTGCCCAACCTTAGGATTTGTAACTCATTGGGAATCACAAGTCCTGGGGTGCCCAGCACGCTCTACTAGACCATCTGGACATCTCCATCCTACCATTTTGTGAAACTCTTGGTCTTTTGACCTCTCTCTCTCCACTTCCAAGCTTCCTCATGCCTAGATATTTTGACAAGGCCTTATGTTTTGGGTCTTGCGATAGCCATTGGGTGAGAACAGCTTTAGTAGCTGTGGTTAGACCCACCCCACTGGCCTGAGGTGTGGCCTTGCACTAGTTCCAGGATGGACAATCATCATTCTTGGTTGAGGTCTGGAGTCTGGAGCCCACATTCATTAGGGTAGTCTTGGTTGGCATGCCCTGGGTCTGTTCTAATCTTCAACTCAGAATCTGACAACATCTAATTAATTATTCTATTAATTTATATGTTACCATATTCTTTAGCGGGAAAAGGATGGCAAGATGCAATGTAGAACATTAGAGAACTCAGAATCTAGTGGAAAATGCGAAAATCTTTTACTGGGTTGGGGTTTTCATGGGCCTTATCTGATATACAATGTTCTAGGGAAATCAGTTTATATGGGAAATTGAAACTCAGATTATTCTTAGACTTGCTCTATTTAACACAGACATGAAATGGGAGACTTTTGCACCCAGACCTTCTTTTGCAGACATCTTGTTTGTTTTCCAAAATACCACACTGACTTTGTGAAAAAGCAGTTTCCTGCGGTATCTGAAAGATAAATCTGTTTCCTATTGTTATTTGTAATGTCACAGAGCAGACATAGTCATCCACTATGATATGGCTAAGAAGGATTAATTTGGTCAAATACAAGTGCTACCTTGATAAGGCTCTGTGATGTATGGAGATGCTGGGAAATCCTGATAAGCCGGACAGTTACACTGTGCAGACTTTAAATTAGGTAATGTTTTGTTTCTTTGGATTTTTATTTTCTGAGACCTCAGAGGAAGAGGCTGGGTTGCTGAGGCCACATCCCCATGGATAATCGCTGTCCTAGGAACATTACTGTCCTTGCAGATATTTTTATTTTCACTCAGAGAGACAAAGAAGGGATGAATGGCTTTTTATTAAAGTGAATTTGGTGCCTGACTTCTTTTACTCTCTCTCTTCTACATTCTTTACTTTCTCCTTTTATCCTCTTTTCTGCCTTTCAACAGATGCAGCCCTTCAAATATGCAGTTATTTTGTTGGTGTTGGCAGGGATTTTCTGACTAATTCTGGCTGAATGTGGATGGAGAGGGAGTGGCTGTGCTGCTGGCTGACTTTGTGAGGGTCTGATAGGCCCTGTGGGAATGTGTGTGGTGTCAACAGCAACATCTCTAGACCACAATTACATAGCTGATTTACAAAAATGCCAAGACCTTGGGCTGTTCGCAGCCTAATGTTAATTATAGAATGATGGTGACACTCAGATGTTAGTTCTATTTCAGCTTCTTTTTCAATTAGAAAATAATGGCTCTTTTTATTGACAAAAGACATTTTTAAAGTGGTGCGAGAGGCTTACTTTAGTTTTTATATAAACCAACACTTGGAGTAGCCCTACCTGTCCTACTTGTGCCCAAGTTTGAAGAGAGGCTTAGGCTAATAATTTCAATTAGGTATCATATTCAGCAAGTCCTTTATTTGGGTTCTTGCTTCCTTTGCATTTTAGTGGGAGAAACTTCTACTTATTGAAATCTTACCGAGTGGTTTTCAAGCTTCGGTGCAGTTTTCAGGATACTGTAATGCATTAGGTGAAAGTGGGGTTCGAAAATTAGCTCCTGGGTGATTCTGTCACGCCCCGTTTTGAGAAATGCCTTTCCAGGACAGTGGCTTTCAAATGTGTGTGTACATGAAGACCACCTAGGGCTTGCTGAATGCAAACTGTTGTCCCCTACAGCTCAGGTTCAGATTTGTCAGGTCTGGGGCAGGGGTGAGAGCTTGCTGTTTCAAGAGGGTCCAGGGTGATGTAGGTGGGGCTCTTCAGGGACCCCACTTTGTGAGCCACTGCTCCTGGGTGTTCCTGGCTGTTGCTCCTATCGTTGGTCAGAAAAGAGAACTACTGACAGTCACCATATACCACATTTCTCATTTGTTGAAGTAGGACAAGGGTGATTTGTAGTACACAGATGTTGAGATACTGTTCCTACAGACCTAGGATCCTTCCTGGGTAATAAATTATGGTTGTTCGTGGTAGAACTGCACAGTGGTCTTTTATTCACCAAATCGTTAATTTTAAGTACAGGTGTTAGAGACTGGGCACAGGCGTTTAATGCCCGGACTGTATCTGTGTTAACACAGCCGTTCTAAAGTAACGTTAACGTGCTGTTGCCTTAATACACAGCATCACATTTTCTTGAACAGGAAGTGCAGTGCACGGCTCCACCCTGCCTCTCAAGTAGTTCTGAGGTAACAATTAGACATGGTGTGAGGAGCAGCTGTCAGTTATCAGCTGTGTAGAAGAAGAGTTGCTTACACTGGCAGAGACTGTTGGATGCTAATCA